GAAACTTCGCATATAAAATTAAAACACTAGTTAAGCATTTCTGGTACAAATCTAAACGCGTCATGAAAGCGGAAAACGCTATGATGTTTCACCGGTCACATGCTATTAGTGAAACAGGGTGCACGTATTCAATGATCAAAATATTGAAAATGCACCGTATTTCAGTTAATGGTAACCGGCATGTATGTTCATGGTTAGGGTTATTATTAAGCCTAAAGAAGTTAATTTAGAAACAGCGCTGACCAAGAACGTATTTTGGCCGTTCAAATGTATCCTAGTATTTTAGACTACGTATAAAATTAATGACAGCAAAAATTTGTTGGAAGTTACGCGTCTCTTTAATCGACTTTGCATAACCTGCTAAATCTACAGAGGCACTCAACTATCAATCTTCGGACATTATTTCCTAATCTCTGTTTCTCAGCTAATGAAGTCAATGACGACATTAACAATTAAAATTTGTTGCGCTTTCTGGTTGCTAGTTGCATTAAAAGCCTTTTACCAGAGGGCCCGAGCAAAACGCATATAGAAAGCAAGAAGTTTTAACTACCTTGATTTCTGAATGCTACCTTTCACGCAAGAAAGCCGTAATGCCAGTGCCATAATAACGTACGCTTTAACTGACAAAATTTCATGGACAGAAACTTTTCAACTAAGTAGCTTGGAAATGAGATATCTACCTGATACCTGTCTTTATCCTTCTTCAAACGAAATTTGCATTTACGCACCTGTAGGACTGCAGATCCTACAGAAGTAAGATTTCACTTGCAACAGTAACTGCCTTTAAACGTCACTTTCTCAAATGACGGCAAGATGCCTAACAACAGGTTTGTTGACAAAACATCGAATTTATGTTGAAATCCGCAATAACACAAAAAAACTCTACAACATTATACTTTATTACATACCCGGACCACGGCCCCAGCTCCCTCCTTTTCCACCGTATTGGGCCATTGTTTCTCACAGATAATGAAACTTCGCCTTTCAACGATAGGCAACTAAAACTGTCATAGGCAACCAAAATCGACGATGACTGTATTAGCTTTACTTGAAAATCTTATTTAAATCAAAGATTGTATGGTCCATGCTTGTTTCGTACACTATAGTAAGAAACGGCAGCTGTGCTGGCTAATTGTCCATTTGTGATACTGACAGAATTATGAATCATCAGTAATTATAATTTTCTCTAACAGTAATTAAAAATCTTTATCCGAAAAGTCAAAGTGTAATTTACTATCGAATTGGTTCGCACCTGAACGATACTGAATTCAATAACCGTACGAAGCATAATATATATGCTAAGAACTGCTTATTTGCTCAGCAATTAATTTTCGTCATTGTAAATCGCTGCTGCGAGCCCAAAAACGGATTTATGTTTATTGATGTGCGTATAATAGTCATAAAAGTAATAAAAGATTTTGGTTTAATTGAATGACTGCGACATGGGTGGTAAGTTAAACAGGACCGAAACTACGGCAAAATTTGAAAAAAATCAAATTTGTGCGATGTTATTCCACTAGAAATAGCATGTAGTACCGTAGTAATTAGTGGTTTCGATTTTCTCTTTAGCGGTTCCAAGTTCAAACTCTCAGAGCGGTGTTAGTCTCCTTATTAATTGCAAGTGTTTTAAAAGAATTTGCATCTCTGACTGGTTGCAGCCAGTCAAGAAAGCAGTAGGAAGTCAATGATTAATGGATGTCAGGATTTTTTTCTAGCGCTGCAAGGGAATGCGACAGATGCGGCAATGCTGTATGGTACGTTCTCCTTGTGGTTGGATTTCTTTGGTTTTCTTGTTGTCCGCTGTGTTTGGTAGGTTTAAAATCAAAAGGCCTGACAATCCGTAACTAAGCCAGCCTCCTACCCTGAAAA